CCAAGTGACCCTCAGATGACCCCAAATGACCCCTGGATGACCCCAGATGACACCAGGTGACCCTTGCAGGACCCTCAAATGACCCCAGGTGACCCCTGAATGACCCCAATTGACCCCTGGATGACCCCAGGTGACCCCTGAATGACCCCAAATGACCCCTGGATGACCCCAGGTGACTCCTGAATGAACCCAAGTGACACCTGGATGCTCCCAGGTGACCCCAAATGACCCCTGAGTGACCCCAGATGACACTGGATGACCTCAAGTGTCCTCAGGTGATCCCTGAATGTCCCCAGGTGACACCTGGATGACCCCAGTTGACCCCATATGAGATATTCAGAGATATTAATAGAGATGCTTATGATCTAGTCTCTTTTCATGATGCGTGGGCACATACATACAAAAATATCTGTCGGTCTTTAACTGTAAGTCTCAAATATTTTGTAGAGCACTATTTTGAGGCCCTACAAGGAGTGCAAACTCAATGCTGTAAGGATCCCTTTGGGATTAAATGCTTACTGCACATCCATATGAGGGGGTAGAGGACAGGCATTTAAATTAATGTTCTACATAGCCTCACTGAGGTCTGGGTGTCTTTTGTGTTTTACTTTCAAAAAAAGATCTATTGAAATGAGTTTCAAGTAACATTCATACATGTCCCATCTTGTCTCTGTCAAGTAAATATCATGATAGGGTCACATAACAGATTAATTTGTTTAAATGAAAGAGTATAAATATTTTAAAGCATAAAATAATGTGAAGAATGTTTTACTGCTGCAATCATATGACAAATCAATATGTTTTTTATGTCATCACAGAAAGAAAATTTTAGATTGTTATTATGTAGAGTCCTCAGAATATTACTGGAGTGAAAAGAAAGTTGTCTCTCATGAAGATGAAAGATCAAGTATCTTAACTAAGTTATTCTATTAAACATCCCCACAGACACAGAGAACTACTTTAAGCCATCCAAAGAACAAAAGGTGAGATCAATACAATGCAAAACAGAGGTCCAGGCTGAATCACTGGGATAGGAGACAGGTGTAGGTTTACTGGGATAGGAGACATTCTTCAATGCACTCAGTCACACAAATTGTTTAATGCCTGAGATGCTTCTCTTTCTCTGTCCTTTATAATTTTGTATATCCCCATCTGCCTCCTGCTTCACCAATCGCTTAGTTTGTATTTCATTTTCCAGAAATTTGAAATGCACGGAAAATAACACCCAAGTCTGACATGATATTGTCTCTATCAAGCAATAATCCTAACAGCGATATATCCCAGCTTAATTGTTAAAAGAAAAAAAAAGAATAGGATCAACATTGTAACATTATATACAGTATTGGAAAGTACTTGCAGGTTTTCTTTGTTTTTATTTTCTGGTTGGTTTGTTTTTTATGCTGAAGTGGTAGGAGCAGCAACTGACAGAGTAAGTTACCTTTGCTTTGCATACCCTCTGAGCCCTCCCTGTCTTGTTCTTCTTATAACTAGAGCCATATTAGCCTACTAACTGGCTTTATAACCAAGCCTTTTCATCAAGTGATAGGGGTCAAAGAATTAAGGTCAGACTGACAGTTGCTGACCTCTTTATTCACAAATAAATCCCTATTATTCTAGGGTTACAGTTCATTTATATAAGCTCATTGTTATATACTAGACTAGGCATTCACACCTCGAAAAATATTTTGCTGACTGCATGAAAAATGAAATAAATCATAAGCTTAGGTGTGGGAAAGGAATGGAGATGACAGTTATAGACCTATCAAAAAAACATTCACTATTATGCAATGAAAAGAATAAATTGAATTACTTTTCCTCAACATTTGTCTGCAACAAAATACCTGTTATGGATTTCTCAAAACAAATAAAAAAATTCTTTGGATAAGAGTACTTCACTTTATGTTCAATGAAACATTTCTTTAAAATATTCACTCTAGGCATACAGATTGCACCCTCCAGTAGTAGGAACCACCTAAAACCCCATCTATTGATACAAAAAGGATAGTTTGTATTCTCAGAAACAAAGCATGAATAGAAGAACACCAATTCCATTTTCCTGCAACTTCCTCCTACTATCTCCAATATTGCTAGGAGATAGCATTAAAACTGGTCTTAAAACTATTTTCCTGTCCCTCTTCAGCTGCCATGAAAGTCCCCAAAATTTGCCATGTATCAGAGATACAGGTAAAGTGCTGCTGAATTTTCACCCATAACAGTCCCTAATCCAGTACAGATGCATTTGCCTATATGAGTTATTCTGAAGTACCTCTAGATTGTGCTACATGGCAAACTACTGTCAGTAGCCTAAGAAGAAAGAGGAAAAACAGGCTATCTTCAGATTTTTTTTGGTAGAAGGGATCTTAAAATCAAGTCCTGTATGGAATCCAATGAGAAGCTTTTGATTAAACAAATATTCTGTTTAAAAATGAGTGTTTTTCAATAAATAACCATCTTATTGAATACTTTTAATAGGAACTTTCAAATGAGAAAACTGTTTTCATTTGTAATTTTTTTTTCTCCATAACATTTAACTGTCAACAAGTTCATTCATCAAAAAAATTAAAGTTATCATCTAAAAATGCTACAAACATTACTATTTCTCTTCATTTTCATCAAAGTTTTGCACAAGGGTAAAAACAACTCTTTCTAAATTTAGTAGAAGCTTTTTCTCCTTTGTTTTCTTCATAGACATATACTCTAGATAGCTAGATAGCTAGTAATTGTTGGCAGTTTCAATTCAATTTTATATATCCAAAGAGAAATGCAGTAAAATGCACTATCTCCTGGATTTGTTACATAGTTTCTTCTTTGTAAATGACTTGTCTTCATCTGCATTATGACTAGTGTATTCCCATTTAATTTTAAATTAATAAACAGAAAATTTTCTTATTTATCTACCTGAGGTCATCTCAGCTCATCTTTTCACTGCCATTATGATCAGAAAACTTACATGTCACTTCTGCTAACTAACTGCCCAAAGTGTAATCAATCCAGCCTTGAGGCTGGGTCTGTGATCTAGTCCATAGCAAAGGACATATTCAAGGTCCCGTTCTGATCTTACTTTTAGTGAGTATTAATGGCTGCACACACACTTCTCACCCCATGGTATTCAAGGGGATATAATTTCATATCCACTAGCTGTGCTGTAATTAACAACAGAGAGCAAGGCCTTGTATGATATCAGAAACAGCCTGAAGTGAGCAGCATGCTGTTTCAGGCCCTGTATTCAGTGCTCCACTCAGCTGCAAGTACCCAGTTAAATTATTCCAAAATCCCCAAAACACGTTTGGAAAGACATGAGTACTTCATTGATTCTAACTGTGATTGAGAACAACTTCTCCTACACTGAAGCTTTGACAAATTTTGGCCCAATGGTGATTTTTGAGGTTTCTTCATGGTTGCGTTAGTTTTTCAGAGGAATCTCTCTGCTTACTGTACATGAGTTTGGCGTGTTTGCTCACAAAAAAACATAAATTCTCATTCTAATAGCAGACCCACAAATTGCCTACTGCATTTTCAGTGAAGCCTCACAGCTTTCTCATAGAACTAGAGCTTTGTGACTGCGTGGCTTATTCTTCCTGGACTGAACAGTTGCAAAGCTTTGTTTCAGATTTCAAAACAGTAAGGGAATGTGAGCCATCATGAGTAAAAAGATTGGATTTTGCCACTTGGAAAATGCTTCCAAAACAAACTTTAGGGTTTCTTTCCTTGTGAAATGTTTAAGGAAAACCCATGAGATACTTCTGTCTGAAATTCACTTGAAAAATCTGATAGAGTCTGTCCTGCTTATCCACATTTAGCATAAAACCCACAAGATCAAACAATTAGCATTGATTCTCAAATGCATGTGTTTGCTAAATGAATATAAATGTAACCTTGATTGTCTCCTCCTTCATGTTTGAATCCTGACTCTGTGTAAATAGTGCTTAGATCAGGGCATGAAATGGTGCCAGTTTCATCCTGCCTTTAGTGAAATTATCACAATCCTACCAATTTAAAGAGTAAAATTAGGTAAGTTGTTCACTGTTTCCATACTTTGTGTTTTACTCTTTCAGTGTGACACAACTAACAGCACAATGGTATGTTTTCTCACTCAAACCCAATTGCTAAAGACTAAAGGACTTGTGCACTTATAATAATTGTCCTAAAGGCATTTTTATTTCATGCTCATAAAAGATTACCTTGGTTTTGAAAACTTGATGCCACTATACCACGTTATTTATTTACATTCCTACTTAAAATTAAATTATATTTGCATATGCAAATTCACTAGGGGGGGAGGTTTTAAAAAACTAGCAAGTAAATCCTAGTGCACTCAGAGGTGGAAATTATTATCCATTTATCCAGAATGATTAACAGTTAAAATGCACTCTGCTGTTCCCTGTGTCTCAGGAAGAACAGAAGCTTTTGTTTTCCTGAAATAAAAAGGCACATCTCTTTTTACAGTAATGCCTTAAAATGGAGGCACGTCAGTCTCATGGCACAAAGCCAGAGAAGTGCAAAATACACCCATACTAAAGAGGAAGTTAAATCCTTGAACCTTGACTATGAGACATTAACAGAAATATGGGTTGATAAATAAGAAATGACACTTTCCTGATAGGTATTAACTTACGGAGAGTATTGCAGAGGGGGTACTTCAAATAATCACCTCAAAAAATCTCAGTGCTGAAAAAAGAGCATAAGTCCTTTCAGGAGTGGGAACAGTCATTGAGAAGATGGTACAACATCACCTATTTTAGAAAGAACCTTTTTTTGGTTGGCCAATATGCAAAAAATGCAAATAAAAAAATAGCCTGAAAAAATATAACTAGATGAGTTTGGAAGAATTTGTCTATCCATAAGAAAAGCAAACAATCCTATTACAAGTGAAAAATGGAACATCAGACAATGTCAGAGCACGTCCACTTCCTCAGCTGATGATAAAAGGAACTCCTGGCACCAGCAAGGAAGAGAAGATGGGTTTGATTTTGTTTACTTTTTTTTTTTTTTTTTTACAGAAAGACTCTGCCTTTTTTTATTTAGGCTTCACACTTTTCCTGGGGCCTCTGGGCTCCTGTCCAGGCCAAGATACTTCACAATTGACTTTCATTTTCTGAGGTAAGTGATCTGCCACATTCAGAGCAGCTATAGAAGGGGTCAAGAGTGAGGTGGCGTGGTATGGCCTCACACTGGCTCCTGCCTCTCTGACATTGTACATGCTAATGCAACGTGAAGTAGCACGTCTAAATAGCCTGTCAAACTTTTTTGATGTTAGCAAATCCACAGATGGGATTCATTTCCACACTGTTCAAAAAACGTAAACGATACAAGGACATTAAAGAGCATTAAACTACTTGATGACATTTTGGTCACATTAATGAAAAGTGGCATTTATAAACTACTAGAAAAAGTTGGGGGGTGGGGGAAAAGAACAGAAAGAGAGAGGAAAGGAGAAGTGAGGAGGGGAAAAGGAATTAAAATCAATCAAAAAAACTCCCAAAGGGACCTGGACGGTCTCTGGACATCATCAAAGAAATTAAGACCTTTAAATGAAATAAAACTCAGAATGAAATTTCCCCTGCATGTGTGCACATGTGCATGTGCTTGTGCTGTTGTTTGGGTGTAAAGGTTGCACCCAAGGACCTGAGTAGGAAGTATAAACGTCTGTTTAGGTCTACATTTATATCTATTCACTCGTAGTGGTTAGTAGCTTCCTACATATGGCATTCCATCAATGACAGCGCCCAAAGTGGTGTTGATTATAAGAAAGGATATCAAAATCCAGCCTCACCACTTAGGCCTAATTTGGCATTCAGTGACTTATATGAAAACATCTTCCATGTCATCCAAGAGCGTTGGGACACACTACAGCCTATAAAATCTCTAGTATGCAGACCAAGCAGGTAAAAGCTAATGGCAAAAAACCGGTTGACTACAGAAATTTCTGAGATCCATTTCTCCCACTTTTACTACCTGTTAGGCACCCTCAAATAAGGATTGGAATCCATCTGGGTGTAAGAGTTAAATAGTTGCTGGTTCATTTGCTAGAGCAGCACAGGCTTCACCAGGATACCAGCCTTGCTGGGTAGAAGGGCACGCAGAAGACGTGCTGCACTGGCTATGCCACTGCCACTAGCAGCAGCAGCATATTTTTTTTCCAGCATTCGTGGTTACATTAATTGTTAATGACAAAGGCAACCTTCACTTGGTGTGGTTTCCTGCCCATATTTGGATCCTTTACAAGGCCCCCCTTTTTCTTCCTCTCCTCCCCCTCCCATCACCCCTTCCCTCTCTCTGATAGGAAATGCAACCCGAGATGTGCAAAAAAACAGTGTGCATATTGTCATTTAATTGGCCCCTTGCTCAGGCGCATCGGGCCTCAGCGCGTGTGCTGTAGGGTGTCTGCTCCACAACAGGAAAGAATAAACCCAGACTCAAATCATAGGAAATTCATCAAATATGCTTCTTAGAGTTCTGTCTTTCAAGGTCTGTTTCCCTGCCATATGATCTCTATAAACCAAATTACTGCTGGCCTGAGTACAAGACTGGAGGCGCCTGGGGCTAACATATAATGAATGCCAAATGCATGTGACAATAGACTGATCATGGAGAAGAATTGAAAATTTTTTAAGTAGTTCTTTTATTTCATTTATAAAAAGCAAACTGACTACACTTAATACATTTAAAAGGAGCCAATCACTTCCCTGCAATTCCAGACCTGTGTAACAAATGTTTTTTATCAACCCAATTAAATAACTAGGACACAAGATACTTTTGAATAAAGTACAGAATAGAAAATAAATTAAAAATACCTCATTCTAGTTTGGGAGGAATGCATACATTATTGAATCAGCTCAATTTTTCCTTTTACAAGCCTTTGTGCATAAATATTCTACCCTTCAATTGCAAGAAGGTAAACTCCTTCTGCTGGGAATGCATAATCCCAGAATTGCTAGATTCTGAAAAAGTAAGAAATCTGCTTAAAGGCTAAGTGATGTAAGATGAATTATTTTTATTAATTTGTGCAATTAGCAGTCAACCAGAAATTTTTATCCCTGTGTTGCCAATTATTCTAAATAACCTAACAAGTTCATGTATTGCTATTGCAGGATCACAAGAAATGTGAAATCTCCAGAAGAAAATATATTATACTCTCTAATATAGACAGAGGGTAATTAATAATGCTTTTTAGGTTTTAGAAAATATTGCACTTAGAATTACAAGTCAACTAACGGGACCGTCTATAACCTATAAATGCTTCCATATTCAGAGACATCAGCAGTCAGAGTTACAAAAAAGTAATAATGCATACATATTAATAGATCACATTTTGTCCTTTGGGGAGTATATTTTATAAAAGGGCTAAGGCAGCAATAGTAACTCCTCTAAAATCTCTAAATGCTATAATTGTTTTATATGAATTACAGTGCTCATATTAATTAATGAATGTTTAGTATATGTAAGTATTTGATAAATACAGACCAAGAAAAAAAATCACCCATCTTTTAAGCTGACATATGAAAAAAAAAAGCCAAACACATTGCTGTTTGAAGGTTTGGAACCAGTTAAGTACAAGATTATTTTAACCACATTTCAATGAGGAACGTGAAATATGGTCCATGAAGTCATGCAATTCAGCAAAACATTTTTTCTCTTCCTTTTTTTTCTTGGTTAAATAGAAACAAAAGCAAAATTGCCAATATACCTCTTTAGTCATTTTAATCAAAGTACTTAAGAAAGCTGCCTGTAGTTAATAAAAAGTTGCATCCCCAGGGCACTCTGTTAAAAGAATCAAAACAGGCATTGACCGACTCTTGATAGCAGTAGCTGTGTTGGACATGTCAGGAACACACATAGGCACTTAGGTCTCGATCCTTATTCTGGATGAGATGAAAAAAGGAAAGAGAAGAGCTTGCAGAAACAGGACTTTTGAAATCTAACTCTAATATCAGTTTGTTAGATGGAGCAGAGCAGTATTCATTTTCATAGGCACTGGTTATATCTCCATTGCTTCTGTTTTTCTCTCAGTGTAAATCTGTTGGAAATAGTTCTAGTGATATTGGTTACAATTAACTGATATGAAGTCACGAGTATGAAATGTGGATAAGTGCTAAAGCATCTATTTTTAGTTCCTCTAAACCTCTATGGAAAATGTTTGTTTTGTGAGCAAAGGAAAAGCTTTTTCAAGTAACAGTATAACAAAATCATGCTGTCTTTATTTTCAAGTTGAACAAGTGATGAGTTACTTTGAATTCAGTTTTAGGTACATATTCCTATCCCTAAAATGTTTTTAACTTGGTTAGAAAAACAGGATCTAGCAAGATATTAGCTTGTATAGAATATCTATACAAGCTATCTGTGCAAATACTTGTTCCTGATTTCTTTATGCAGGATGTCAAAACATACATGCTCACAAATGATGAGTCACTCTGGACTAAAGTGACAACCATACGTGATTCACATTCATCATATTTCCCACATAGACACTTATATTAAAAAAAAATCAATTAACTAATTATATAAAATAATGCAAACCAAGCCAAAGAATGGCTATAAATTATGTTTGCTAAATGAAACAAGAGAACAAAATATTTTTGATAAAAAGTCACACTCTACCACAAAATCTCTACCATAATTTTCGAATAGGTCTGCTACCTGCTTGCTGAAAGCTCTTTCAGAACTTTGACTAAATGTATTCATAACTAATTTATATCAATTTCATGTTGCACAGAATTTTCATATTCATCATCTGATTTACCTTAATGTCAATAAACATCCTGTTTGCACTCATTTAGAACTGACAAGTCATCAGAATGGAACTGTTCTCTGCTGACCACTACTGGAATGAATCCAGGACCACTATTTGCGCTGGACAAAGGAGGAAAGAGAGAAAAATCATCACATCCTCTGTAGGACCATGTACCAGGAACACTAATCCCTACCCAGACACTAGGTCAGGCCACTACTTCTGTAGTGTTTACTGCCTGTGAGGTGCAGGACAGTTAGGTCTAAGCTCTTCTCACTCTCACTGTGACAAGTCTTACAGCAATGTGCGGCACTGGATCAGAAACTTGCAACCTAAGAGATATTTAGAGCAGGTACTGAAAAGTTTTGTCTGCACGTGTGGCAGATTGGTGCATTTGAGATACAAGATTGCCTAAGGCATCACTGAATCCTCAGAGACTTGGACAGGCACTTAGAAGTATCAACAACAGTACAGTTCAAAAAGCTATCGTTACTTGGAATTGCCACTTTAGGCTCTGACATTCTGTTCTACTTACATACATCCTCCTAGAAAATTGAACACAAAAATAGCAACAGAAATAGAAATATTTAAAAACAAATAATCTAGATTGTTGCAAATATATTTGGCCTCCTTCTTCAGGAACGCATATGTTTTACTGCTTTCTGAACATAATAATCAGAAGCAGAGAATTTCATATTGTTTGAGAGTTGTATTCTAAGTAACTGTGTTAAAAGAGTATCACTAGGGGTCAAAATTCAAGACCTCAAAGCTATAAAACACAGAATGAAAGTTGCCTGCATAAACTTAATTCAGCCTTTTACTTAAAACTTCACTTGACAATTTTCTGTAGGATCCTACATCAAAGGATACAAAAGCTTATTGATACAGTCAAATTTTCTTTTGTCCCTTTTGTTCAATGTACTTGAGTATTGTCCAAGTCATGTTTTGAAAAAAATATATTACTTTCTTTATGGAATTTTAGGTGAAATTTATTCTAAGAGTATGCCAGGATTTCACATGAATACACCTCCATATTTTGAAGGAATATTATTGAATCTTAAAGATGGGAAGCAGAAATTAAAACTCTTCTTCAGTTCTAAATATGAGATTCCAAGTACCTGATTTAGACTATTTAGTGCTATGTATCACTCAATCATTTGCAACTGTGCATCTTTCAGCAGGTGAAAGCACCGTATCTCAAGTTAGACATCCATAAAAAAAGAAGACAAATAATGACTGATTAAAAGCATAAGTTGATTGAGGTTTGCTGAAAATACTATGGGAAAAGACCATAAAAATGACAGACAGGCAGCAGTCTCACTTCTACTGTTCCAGACATGTACAAAGGCATTTGAGAAACAAAGACTTGAGC